GCCGGAGGTCTGGGAAAGGCTCTGCTCTCCCGCAGCCCGGCCTCGGCGAGCGGTGTGTGCCACGGCCGGGAAGGGCGCTCATGGCAGCTGGCCCCAGGGATTTGGCATGGTGCTGAGACGTCCAGCATGGGACCTGGGGATACTGCGGCTCAGCGGAAACTTGTTTTGCTGAGTCCAGAACAAGGGTGCCGTGTCTGGTTTCAGGGAAGGCGAGCACCCTCTGCTCAGACACTGTCACCTCGCTGGGGGGGACAGGAAGAAGGGCTCGGTGGTCCTGCCAGCTGGCTCGCAGCCTGAGGGGGGTGTCACGGTGGCTGCCAGGCCCCTGTGTACCCCTCGCTCCCTCTCACCTCGCACTAATGGAGCTGGGAGGGTTAAAATGCCAGGCTGCTCTCCCGAGGAGGGCTCCTGCTTCCCTCCACGTGGGTACCGAGCGGGATAGGGCTGAGCAGAGCAGTTGGGCTGCAGCCTCCCAGCTCAATGCAGCAGGCGCTGCGCTGGCCCTTTCTGCCCTGGAGCATCCTGCCAGGAGCAGCCCCGGCCCCCTGCCAGACCTGGCAGAGCCAGGGGACGCTGGGCTCCCGGACCAGGAGCAGGCAGAGCCCTCCTGCTGACGGAGGAGGTGGCGACGACGGAACAGAGACTCCCATCAGCACCTTATATTTACTGCAAGGTCCTCTGGCTGTGACCTTTAAAAGACAAGGTGGCCTGGCAGCCCGGGAGCTGGCAGTGGGCGCTTGCAGCCGTCAGATGCTCTGCAGGACCATCCCCGCTGGGCCAGGCACACCGGGCTGGGAGCTGAGCGAGAGGTCCTGGGCACACAGACTGCGGGTGAGTGCTTGGCTGCCTTTGTCATTCTCAGCCCTCCCTTGCCTGCAGCTCTCCCTCGGAGCAACGCTTTCCCCTCTCCCTGCCTCCTTCTCCCTGCGCAGAGCCATCCTGCCCGCTGCCTCCTCGGCACCCCAGCAGGGCCGGCTGCCCTCCGGGACGGGCAGGCTCCCCACCCCCTTTCACGGGCCCTTTAGAACAGGCAGGGACAGAGGAGCAGTGTCCCCAGGCAGCCCCTGCAGAGGCATCTGCAAGAAACAATGAGGCAACCGTCCTGTGTCCCAGGAGAAAGTTTCTTCCTGACCCAGCACAGCCCGAGGCCACCTCCACCAGACCCTCCCCGACTCCGGCCCTCCAGCACTGCCCTTCACACCCCTCGGCTCCCGGAGTTCACTGCCCCAGGCTGTCCCTGTTACCAGGTCCCCACGAGCAGGGAGCCAGGCTCAGGCAGCATCGCAGGGACAGTGGCTCTGGGCTCGACCGAGGCACACAGCAGTTCCCCGTGGCTCTCTGCACAGCACTGAGCAGGTCTCCCCGGCACAGGGAAGGCCCCCCGCCGTCTCGCGACCTGCCCTCTTGCTCTTCTGCACCTCTAATCCCACCTGGTCCAAGGAAATCTATGTAGTCTGTAAAAATGACTGTCCCTGGTTCTGGAGGATCTGTGAAGCCCCAGGCTGGGGAATTGCAGTCACTGCCCTCGGTCTCTTGCGGTGACAAAAACTCACCCTCGTCGTGTCCCCCGGGGATCTCCTCCACGATCCCACAGCGCCTGCCTTCCTCAAGAGTTTCTTGCCAGGAACTCCCCCAGAGGCGTCCCCAAACTGCCAACCTGTGGGTCCCCCATCCCCTTTGCCCACGGCTGCGTTCAACCCTCCGTTGGCTGACTCCCTCTGAAGCTGGGGGGTAGACAGCCGCGCACCCCCCCGCCTGAGAGCTGCTCCTTTCTGCCACAGCGAAGCTGGGCCCTGCCACAGGCCAGGTACAGACTGCAGCCCGGCTGGGCTGTACCCCCCCGCACCAGCCAAGCTGC